TCAAAAACAAATCGTTTTATTTTCCGAAAGGCGATTATTTAGCAGGAGTAAATGAACTATAAATAAAAGGAAGTAAGCGCGTGCTGCTGTGTGCAGCCTTCTATATATTTTTTTTTCTATAGAGGAGAATGTCGGTAGCTCAGGTAGCGTAGATGGTCGTTGGCTTGTTCGCTGAGCTGGGCAATTTGGTTGCAAACGTTTCATCACCAATCGAGGTGACATCATCAGTGCGTAGTTGTGCGTAGCGAGTAGTGGCAACTCTCGCCTGCTACAACAGCTGTTCAGAGGCCAAACCACGGCACTACCATGTAGATGGACTGCTGATGAGCTCAAGTCAGGATGAAACTCGAGTCCAGTGCTTTCTCTCTTTAGAAAGGACAATTGTGCTTGGATGGGAGGCGAGCCATTCATACGCGAAAACTTTGATCCTTGTGACCCGTCTAGACCACAGTAATACCCCAAACTTATAAGTAGGGTACTGCCGAACGATTGCAGCCTTGCGCACTAAGTGTGTGAGTTTTGTACCATGCACCCGCTAGATTCCTTACATTTGCCCCTAGTGAATAAGTGAAGACAATTGTGAAAACGGAGAACTAACTGACTCTCCCAGAACGATGCGGATTTTGAGAAAGCTCAACTGAGATTGTCAACCACACGTCGGTTGATTAGAACGAACACCGCCGGTGAATGCGATTGAAAAGTGCATCTCCCAGAACGATGCGGATTTTGAGAAAGTTCAACTGAGATTGTCAACCACACGTCGGTTGATTAGAACGAACACCGCCGGTGAATGCAATTGAAAAGTGCACAGTCTCCATGAGGTTCTTATCCTACCCTTACAATACTGTTGCCATCAGCAGTCCCAGCTTCACTGTCAGATAAAACCCTCCATGTTGTCTGATCCATGTCATCGTTTGAGTTTCTTCCGCTGTCTGTGTAAGCTGCAGGTGAATGCATCAGTCTCGGTTTTGAGACATTCACTGACGCATCAGGCCTGTAGCTGTCGCGATAGGTGAGAATTCCGGAAGCTATGGCAGGTTTCCAAGTCTGCATTCATACAAAGTCTACTCCCAGTCAACCGAGTTCCGGCATGTCATATCACAGTTTGCTTGTCTAAGCAGACCGGTCACCCCCGAGCAATTGCGGGGATGCGGTGGTTGATTTGTTTAAGGGTGCTTTTGAGGTGTCTATACCGAGGATTTTTTAAAAGGACCACTGATCACAGCTTTCGGGAGACTACTGGAAAGTCGCTGAGGCCTCACGAAAAGCCTAGTTCATTTCGGGACTCATCGGATAGATGTACCCCGTGGGTCTCCGTCCGTAGTAGCTGCTTCGGTGTGTCAGAGAGTTTGCATGTGTGCGCGTCCGTTCGTCGTTCCACCATCGATCTGGCGTGTGATTTTAGTGGCTGATTAGGTGCGTGTCCGATTGATCTGCTCACGTGACTGGCTTGTGGGCTGACTGGATCTGTGAATCAGTTGTTTGCTGACCCGTCACGAAAGCGGACCAAGTTGGCCGCGTGTGCACAATAGACCTTTGTCAGTACTCACGTGTTCTTCTGACTTACTGTGAACCACAATACCGTCATTCCTATGTACTAAATTTTACGCAATTCGCGGACTGTACTCACTTGCAGATCATAGTGATGTTGTCTCCATTTCATGGTATTGTTCAGTTGGCACCATATCCTAGATACCGCAGTATATTTACTCGATATAAAACGAATGTATTTCGTTGGAGACGTTGACTCGTCACCCCTCAGCCACTGTGGACACGACAAAATCAGAGCGACAGTCAAGTCGATTTTAGCAGTTCGTTTGATCTAATGGAGATTAATTAACCAACTGCGCATCGGCTATTGTCCATGAAAATACAAAAAGGTGCATTAAACTGTTGAATTACCTGACTCTGCGTAAACGGCGAAAACGAGTAGAGGTATTGAGGCAGGTTTCATGCATCATACACTCATTTTTCTGATGAGAGGGGGCACCTTTTTAATGTTCTCGAAAAACAGAACAGCTGTTGTCAGTCAGATGAAAAACGTGTGGAGTCATTAAAGAAAGGTTGGCAGAGTCCAGGAGTACTTTCCAAAAACGCGGTTGTTGTGCTAAAACGTTTTTTTGGAGGTCGGATACACGGGATTAAAGAGACCACAAGTATGCCTCCCGATCAACGCACTGAAATTTGGAATTTCATGTTGATTGAATACAATAGAAACGCGGCCGTCAGATTATGGCATATTGATTGATTTGTTACCCTGTGTCTTGATGAACAGACCTTAGACAAACAAAACCACTTGTTCAAGATGATGAACCAGCTCTTTGTATCAGAGGGGATTCGAGCTTTGACGTGCCCTAGGGACTTGTGGGAGAATTCCCTCTAGGATTGCAATGCCGTGACAAACTATCACAAAGAATCGTTCTTCTGAAGAAGCCCTAGCAAATAGGAGTGCAGGATTGTCCGCTCTGAAAATGTGAATTCTGGGCAAAGAAAGAGGAATTTTGATTGCTGTTTCAACTTTGTAATGTATGAGGTAGCCGGTAAACTCGTCTAAACGGTGGTTTTCGCGCGTGCATCTGCAAAAATTATGATATTTCAAGATTTTTCAGTGACTTTCACGGGTTGCCAGACGATATTGTCATCCTTCTTGGTTTCATTTATTTTGATTGGTCGCCCAGGTCAGGGGATCCAAGAAGCCGAATAGCAAAACGTACTCAATCTGGTTTGTTACTGCTTCGGAGTAGCGTAATCATCAATTT